CACTCTTAAGACTAGTTACCTACTTTTTCTGTGTTAAACATTCCTTGTTCTATTCCATATTGTTTTATAGTGAGAACGTTTCAAACCCCTACAATTATGTCTTACCTGACTTTAACAGATAGGCCAATGCTAGGGTTAGCTCTTTGTGGATCATGAGTATGTCAACAAGAACAGTAGGATTTCAATCAGATGACACTGAACAAATGTAGGACACCTAGATCATCAACTGCAAATTCCTTTTGTATTTCCTGACTTCTTTATCTAAAGATATTGTTGTATGTGTTTTAAGTTGTATTGGGGTTGGGACAAAGGAGGGAGTGGGGGTGACTCCTTATTCTGTTGTATTACTGAATTAACTGAGTAATGTTTAAAAATATGTAACTAATTGTGGGTTTGGTTCCATGGCCCCAAGTATGAAGAGCCAATATGTTTAACAAGCTAAATGCAACAACACTGGAATGGATTGCTTTGGCCAAACTATAGGCTTTCCCAAGAATCTGATGCAATAGAGAAGGAAAAACTGTCTCACTGAAAAAAGCATTCATCATCTTGTTCATGTTTTAATATAGTTGAATTTCCTGGTCTTATGTATAGGAAATCAGAAAAAGAAACAAAAATGTTTGAGGTTGACAGAGAAGCCAAAACACATTATCATGCCAAGAAGGGTGCACAGGAAAATAGTAATTAGGCAGAACCATACCAGCAGCACTTTCTACTCTTGTTACATCAGGATCTTAATCTTCTCTGCCTGGCTCCTAAAGGCACCACTAGATGAGCACACCGTATTAGTTCTGTGTTAGACGTAGCGGCTCTTTTGTCTTCCATGTCATCTTACGTGTGGGAGAGCTTCCTTAAGCTTGTTTCTTATTTTCTATTTTGAGTGGATGTGGAGAGTATCACTGGTGTTGAAGCCTTTTAGTGCTTAATAACAATATCAAGTATTCCTAAGAGGCCCCCTTACCTTGAGAGGGACAAAAAAAAACCTTGGATCACCTACAAACAAACACAAAAATCACCTAATTATAGTGAAATGAATGATACTGCCATTGATGAAACATACAGTAATGAGAGAGAATACTAAATAAATTCTCAATGGGACAAAAATGTTTTTTCTATCTGCAATACATCTGAAGTATCCAAAAGAGTCCTTAACCCTATCTTCTATATCTTGAGGACAGCAGAATGAGAAATTTTATCCAGGTCAGTGACTAGAACCTGTGAGAAATAGAGGCAAGTATGAGAAACCCCTAGGAAGATTAGGAAGAAATGGGAGCTGTGTGCAGTTGATAGTAGTTGTTTAGGATAGCCTCCTTCCTGCCCTCTTACCAGCACTGCCCTCTTCTCTATTTGGAACCCAGTAGTCTAGTTCCTACCCCATTTCGCCTGCTATAATCTCTTCTTCCTCTGTCTTGCCTCTTCCTGGCATTACTTTACTTCTATTTTACCAACCTGAACCTTGGATTAAACCTAGCTCAGGTAAGAACTTAGTTAACTTTAAAAATATGCAAGGGATGTGGGGGTAGGCAGCATGGGTACAATGGAACAAGTCAGAAGCCTAAATCCTATTTTCATTTCTGCCACTTGAAACTATATGACCTTAGGCAAGCTGTTTTTAATTTCTGGGCTTCCCTTTCCTCATTTGAAAATGGAATTGAACATAGATAAACTCAAAAGAGTCCCTCATTCTTCCACATATTTTTTTCTTCTTTTTCTTGTGAGTGAGAATATATGGTGTGGGAATACTGGAAGCCAAACAGAATGTTTACGGTATTGAGGTTTGTGAGCCCCTACCACTGGTTCTCACGTGGAAGCAAAAGCCCGCTGTGGAGGCCAGCACTGATTTTGAGATTTTAGTGGAGGCAGAAGAAATTCTCGCACATCCATAGTGAGCCCTCGAGCTACTAAGAATCATCCTGCTGAGGCATAGATCAAACCCCATGAGAATAATAGCTCTTTCAGGGAATAAAATTATATCACCAAGGTTTCTGAACCCATTTATTTCAAGTAGTATTTAATGTAATAAAATTATACCAACAATAAAATTATTGATGTTTTAAGACCCTTTAAACCTATTGTGGCTACAGTGTGCTGACTTGCCCTTTTATAGGCCAGTCTGCTTCCTTCAGTCCCTGCTCTCAAAGGGGAAATCCCATCACCTCAGCTAACCAGACCAAAGAAGAGAATTGGACAGCCAGTGGCCCCTCCTAACCAGAGGTAAGAAATCTCAGGACCTGGAACTATAGTTGCCATCTGTTCTTGCCAAATCCTCCTCCCAACCTCAAGATGGTGCATGAGGGCACCGTCCTCAGTTTGAAGAAGTTTGTAGAAGGGGAAAGGCTGGTCATATTGTAGTTTCAAGCCCAACAGAGAGGACTAATTGTATACATGTTTTTTTCCCACTGCTTAAGACCTTTGGACCACATTGTAAACCCAGGAAGAGGCAAACAAGCCTGTAGGAAAACAGCTTCTGAACATCTTGTACTCCCACTAGTCCTAGCTAGCTCTCTTCTACCAACAGGTGTGGCTGGTCATGACGTATTCCCAGTGGACCGTATCCTGGGGTGAAAGGCTCTGATATTGCTGTATTTTCTATTCATCCTCAAAGCTCTGTCACCATTTGCTGACAGGCAGGTTCCCTCACCTTCACTTTCTTCTGTACGAGGCAAGTGAGAAAAAGATGGTTTTAAGTATCCAAAATGTAAATGTGTTAAGACCACTTCCAGTGAGGGTCAGGAGACTGGGCTTTAAAACCTAATTTGGGAAACAAGATCATGAAAGTATTGATCAGACAGCAAACCTATTTTGTGATTACTTTGCACCTCCTGTTTTATCTTAATGGTACTTGTGTAAGTCCAGAGTAATTTGCCCATAGCAGAGACCTGGTATTCCCTTCTAGGTTTAATCAGGTCTCTGGGGGTGCAGGGCCAGGGCATAGATATTTCTTTAAAGATCCCATACGCCTAGTGGGTAATCAGTGTTGATCGTCTTGGTCCTTCATCTGGGTTGCATGGCTGATGATGAATCTGGCTTTCTCTCTAAAGCCAACTACCTATTCTCTAGTTCCCTAGCCCATAAAGCACACAGCATCTCAAGGATTGTAAGCTTCCAGCAGTAGTCTTGTCATAATAGTAACTCCTGCTATTGTTTTGTAGTAGAGATTAATTGAAGGGAGGCCTCACTTCCACACTGATCCTTCTTGAAAACCTTTGACACTTCTCTCCTAGTTCTGTTCTGGCTGATCCTTCTCAGTCTCTTGGTGAATCCTCTTTCCCCACAACCTCTTAAATATATGTTGATGTGCCCAGGCCTGTTCCTACTCCACAGGTGGCCTCATCTCACAACTCTTGGATTTTTTTTCACCCAAATCTAACCCTGAGCTTCAGACCAGTATATCTACTACCATGCTGTGCTTCTCCGTCTGAGCACTCCACACAGGTTATACATTCATCAGTATAAAATAAGCCCTTCCTCTTGTTTTCCATATTACCTTAGGTGGTACTACTAGCTACCAAGATGCTCAAGTCAGATTGGGAATTGTCCTAGATTATCTCCTTCCTTACCCCATCTTTAATCAGCTGCCTTATCTTTCCTCCTCTGTTTATCAGGATCCCATCCACTTCTCTCCATCTTCACAGCCACTGACCTTTTGCCTGTCCCATTTCACTAGGCCGGAGTCTTCACCTTCAGTCTCGCTGTCCACTGTACCATCCCCCAGTCCCTTCACCAAACTACCTACTCAATCTGCTTCTAAGCCTCACCCTCCAGCACTGCTAAAAACACTTCATTTCAGCATATGTTACTTGGTTAAGAGCCTCAAAACCCTTTTTGGAACAGTAAAATATATATATGCTTGCTACCTGAAGTGTGATTCTAAAGACCTGTACACATGGGATCTTATTAAAATCCAGAATCTCAAGTTCCACCCCAGACCTACTGTATAAAACTTCTCATTTTAACAAGATCTCCAGGTGATTTATGTGTAAATTTGAGAAGCACTTAACTTAATAAAATACAGTCTTTTTTTAATGAGTAAAGAAATCAGAGCTAAGGGAAAACCTGATGAAGTCAGAGATGATGTAATTTTGATAAATGTGTGAAGTCAGGTGGTCTGTACTTAAATTTGGGAGTAGGAGTTGATGGGGGTATACTAATTTTGGAGAAGCCAAACCAAGTACAACTGGGTCAAGTTGAGGTTTTTAGTGTGTATAGGTACTAGACTTAATATTTGTTCTTCCACCACCTCTCTCCTGCCTCCTTTCATATCAGCGTGCCTACATCGAAAAATCTTCTAAGGCCAAGAGTCTGATTCCTTTGCAGAAGCCTAACGTCCAAGTCCCCTGCCCTGAGTTTCCTCAGGTTAGCTAGCTGCGGCAGAGAGATCCAGGAGCAAGTCTCTCCTGTCCCCCAACCTTTAGCCATCCTCTGATCAGTCCAAGCATCTCTTCTTCCAGAAAGCCCCTCCTCCCTCCCTGACATTCCCCNGATCAGTCCAAGCATCTCTTCTTCCAGAAAGCCCCTCCTCCCTCCCTGACATTCCCCTTCCTGCTGTGCACTAAGCCATCACCGTACAGAAATTGATTAATGGGAGGCGGTACACAGCTGTACTGGGATCAGGTACACTCGGGTCTGACTCTCAGCCCCCAGTCCTAGAAGACTCGGAACCAGTGATTAACCTCTCTGGGCCTTAGTTTCCTCCCCTGTAAAAAACGGCTAGTAATACAGTGCGTTACTGTCCCAAACTTGCAGGGACTGGGTGAATTAATGCATGGCAGTATTGTGTGCTGTACCTTACCTGTTTCCAGCTCCCATCCATAGACAGTAAGAGAGCTGAGTGGCTGCAGCCCTCAGGGGCAGGCTGACCGGTGTTGGGCCAGCAGGACCTGGAGATGGGTGCGGGGCCTGGGATTCCTTCCAACTTGCCGCGAGCTGGGGGTTCGTTGGGCGGGACTGTCGGGTTGAGTAACGGCGGACGGCCCGCCCCAGCCGTGACGTCTTCCTGGTGGTGCTGCTGCAGCCGCACGTGGTCAACTGAGTCCGCCTCAGACTCAGCTGCGCTCCGCGTCCTCAGCAGCAGCAGCTTGCCTTCCTGCTCGTCCCGCTCGCTATGTCCGCTTCCACCGGCTGCCCGATTCCTGGGGGCAGGGACCGGTTGCCCGATGGCTACAGCACCACGCCGGGGGGCACGCTATACGCCACTACCCCGGGAGGTCAGAGGGGCGCGCCCGCCAGCGCGTGCGTGTTCGGGGGTGGGGAGGTTGGGGAGAAACGGGGCTTTAACTCTCAAGCAGGCCCCACTGCAGGTTGTAGCTTTTGGGGTTGGAAAGTGTTTGCAGTCAAAGCCCAGTTCCCTGAAACCCCAAAGTGATGCAAGACGGCGTTGAGCCGTTTCCGAGTGACTGTGGGTTGAAATCTGCACCGTGACCTAGATTCTGGGCTCGTTGCTTCCCCACCCCGCCCAACTTTGCCAGCAACTAAACTTGGCCCCAACAGGAAGCACCAGGTCTTGCAAAGCGGCCAGAGTTGGAGGCAGGGGCTGAGGGTATCTGCCCCTGGCTGGTGGCTGTTTGGTTGGGTGAGCAGCCTGGGATCCCGCGCTGCTGGGCTCCTGACCCAGGGGTTCCTGCCACGTGGAGGCAGAGGGGAGGGTCAAGAACAGGGTAGGGCTCTTTGGGGATACAATTCAGGCCAAGTTCCTCTAGGCTGGGCTGAGCCTGATAGGACTTGGGAGGGGTCAGGATGAGAACAGTATGTTCCTGTTTCATGGGGAAAGCAGGTGTCCAGGGGAAGACAGCTCCTCCTCACCGCAGTATGAGTCCAGGAGACAGCACTGGATCAAACACCTTCACATCTGCTGTTTGTCTTCTTGACTGCTAAGGCTGAAGGGGTAGGCCCCAATTTATGAACCAAAGCAATGAAGTCCCATTGTCAGCAGAGCCAGACAAGAGCAGCCTTAACTACTTGATTCTGAGTTTTGTGCTTCTAGAGCCAAGACCTGAAACACTCCCCTAAAGCAGTACCCCTGGGTGCCTCACTTGCTTTATGGGGCTTAGACCTTGCTTTCTTGGTTAGACCTGGAAGTCTTTAAGTGCTGTTGAGACCTGGTCAGCTGAGACCCTAGCTGGGCTGCAGAATAGTTGCCCTTTAGTACACAGGGAAACATGGTCCCCAGTTTCCTAGAAGTTCCATCCGGGGCTCCAGACAGCTCTGTACCCAAGCGCCTACCTCTTACCAAACCCTGCCCCTTGACAGGCACCAGGATCATCTACGACCGAAAGTTCCTGCTGGAGTGCAAGAACTCACCCATTGCCCGGACGCCTCCCTGCTGCCTCCCTCAGATTCCCGGGGTCACAACTCCTCCAACAGCCCCACCCTCCAGGCTGGAGGAACTGAAGGAGCAGAAGGAGACAGAGGAAGAGACACCCGGTAAGGAAAGCAGGACCTAAAATTAAGAAATGCCTTCAAGTCCAAATGCCCCAGTTAAGCAGAGTGGGGATTCAGTTCCAAGAGGGGTTTCTGCACCAGCACTGAGCCTGCAGACCCTCAGGTCAGCAACCTGTCCTCCTTCCTTTTCTCTCTCCAGATGACGCACAATTTGAAATGGACATCTAATCCAGTGCAGAGGACCACGTGTGAAGTTAGACGACTCCCTCATGCCGCTGCTGCAACCACCTCTTCCTGGGCTATCCAAAGGCCAGCTGACCTCATCTAACCTGGGAGTGACTGTTGGTCTGGCCTCTCTTGTTCTGAGGCAACTAGACCAGGGATAGGATTGGGCAACTTGCCAAGCCCTTAGCTCTACTTTCTCTTTGGTCTGTAGACACTCCTCCCAAACCCCCAGCCCTCCATTGCCAGGCTGTGGCTACAACTGGGGGATGTCACTTTCTGACTGCTTAGTAAACATTCAAAGAAGTGCCTCGGCTCTGGTGTTCTCAATGCTGATATTCCCATTGAAGCCACACAGCTGAGGGCCCCAGACGACCAGGTTAGGATCAGAGGTCCCAGGTCCCTTCCCAGCTCCCTCTGGGCCCACTTCCAGCAGCAATTAGAGCCTGAGGTAGTCTATGGAGGCGTGCTCCAGGAGCTGCCAAACGATAACCAGCAATAGGCAAACCCTGCCAGGGGCTGTGCCAGCCTTGCCAGGAAGGCTGCTTCCTGCAATCAGGTCTCTCCAGCAGTCCATCCCTATCTATTCTAAACCAGGAAAAAAAGAGGCTCTGCCCAGTCTTTAGCCTTCTTGGGTCTCCCCATGCTTTTTCTGCCTTTCACCTGCTAAGTATCAATTCCCTTATTCCAACATTTAAAATCTGTACCTTACCTTCTCACAACAGGATACAAACCTCAGGGCCCCTTCCTCCTGGCTCTGTTGTCCTCAAAGGGTTAGGAGAGAATTTAGGGTCCAAAATGAGGTAGTAGCCTATTTGGAAGTCAATCATGATCCTACCCACTCCCTCTTCCCTATCTCAGCAACCTGGTCTTTTTCTCCTTCAATGTACATAGCTATGTTCTAATCTGGTTTTAATTTCTATAGCATTTGGATACTTCAAGAGTGACACAGTGCAAATAAGGCAGTTCCTTTTCTTGAAGGAAAAAATCTCCCCAGGCTATATGAGCCTCTGTTCTCATATTAAAATTAAATCATCCAAAGATATGGCTACTCAGCTCAGCAAGGTATGTATATTTGAGTCTAATTTGGGGGGAAATGGCAGTAATCTGTTCCTGCCTAGCAAGGCCATCCATGGTGAATGGGGGCACAGAGGATGTAGGGCAGTCAAGGACACCACAGGGGACCAGTTTGCTGTAAGAAGGGCTCATCTCTCCCACCCAGGGCCCACCACTGAGATGTTTTTATTGAAATGCAGATGTTATGGGTAACAAGTAACCTCCCTGTGGCCCAGGTGGACCCTCTTCCCTCAGAGGTAGGTCAGGCCAAGGACCCCAGCGGGGCAGACTGTCTCCCAAGTGGTAAGAGGAAGCCAAGTGAGAAAAGGCCTCCTGTGCCAAGGCAGAGAAGATGGTGAGAGGTGAGTCTGAGGAACCCACAGGATCATGGAGTCTCTTAGATGCTTGGTATGGTCTGGTTCTCCTCAGCTATGGCTGTAGATTTCTCTTCATTGGCCTCTTCCTTTGAAGATAGACTCCTTTTTTCTGCAATTAATCGTTTAACTCCCACCATCCACTGACTGACCTCAGTCACATGGTCAACCATGAGTGAACGGTGGATGTCATCTGCTGCATCCCAACGGTGGCTTGAAAGCTCTGAGGAAAGAGAGAGGCTGAGCGGGTAGCCTAGGCAAAAGACACGGCCCCCAGCCGTCCACTCCCAGCCAGCAGGATGAGGGACTCGGGCTATCCCAGGGAACCTACCCATACCTTGCACCAGCAGAGCCATCCTCTTCTTTACAGGCATGGACAGTTTCCCTCCAGCCCACTGCTCCTGCAGCAGAGCCAGGCGCCGGCTGATGTCCTCACATACCTGCTTCTGAGAGACAGCGTCCCCCTCCAGTCAGTGCTGCCAGCCCAGTGGGCTGGGAAAGGCAGCACCACAGAGGAAGCACCTACCTTCACTGGCCCAGGAACTTGATACTTCATCTTAGAATTCTGGTTCTTTACCCAAATGTTAGAGGCTCTCCTAAGAATCTGATGAAACTTACAGATCTCCTCCCAAGAAAAATGTATGAATGGCTAGAACTTTTAAATTTCCAGAGTTCTCAGGCCCTCAGAAAGTCCTTCTATAGTGTGCTATTTTTACAAGGAAACTAAGACCCAAAGAGGTAGAAATTACTATGCAACTTTCCTTTAAGACTCCTCAGATCCTTGCCTCCAGAGAACTCAGGAAAGACTATAGATAGGAAAAGGGGGCCTCTCTCCTCTCCCTGAGCGCAAAAGCAGCAGGGTCTGCTCTTGAATAGCCTAGAGGTCCTGAAGCTATGAAAATCAGGCTGTTATCATCACTAACGGGAGGTGAATTCAGCCTTTACTCCTACAAGCCTCTTAGTACTGACTGGTCTTCAGAAGTCCCATGAACCCTCTTAAAATTTTTTTCGTTTTTCCGGGAAATCCTTAGCAGATTCCAAAGGGATTCCACAGAAAGCGTCAAGAGCCACTGCCCAGAGGGTCAGAGGGTTTGATTTGAGGAGCCCCACCTGCATCTGGCTGATGATGGGAACCCTCTCTGGTACGCCAGGGCTTACCTTTGTGTGGCCACGGCAATCCTCCAGGGCCTGTTCCAAAGGTTTCAGCACATCTTCCAGCAGAGTCTCAGACTCAATGACTGGGAAATTTGTGGGCTCTGCAATGGAGGCAGGACAACTCCCCAAAGGTGGGGGCCTGGAAACATTGCTTGGAGGCCCCATTACAGGGAGCCTAGGAGAAGTCTCTGAGGTGGGGACTGAAAAGGTAAAGCAGGATCAAACAACATGACTTAAATAGGTAAGAAAAGCTCAACTCTTAACTTCTACAGAGGGCTACTCTGGGACAACTCATTTGTTTAAAACATATTTATGAAGTCCCCACTGTGTGCCAGACAATGTGCAAGGCACCAGAGATACAGTAATAAACCAGACAGATGAGGTTCCTGACCTCAGAGAGCTTAAATTCTAGAGGAAGGAAAAAAACCAGTATTATCAAGTTACATTACTTGCTACAAAGAAGTAAAACGGGTAATGTAATAAAGAGGAATAGTAGAACTGAGTGTTCATGGAAGGCCTTCTGAGGTGACATCAAAGTTTATCCTAGCTCACCACTATGTGCTATTTGGCAAGTTACCTTTAACCTCTGAACTTGGGTAAAACCTCTTATGTAAAAATGGGATTGTGATAATGAGTTACAAGAAATACATATTTGGTCTTCATGCGCAGCTCCTAAAAACACACTGCAAAGTCTTAAAGGTGAAATGGGTGTTTTGTCATTTTAATGACACTTTTGAACCCCACGCAAGGACAGGGGCTGGAGGCTGAAATCAGCCAATGGCTAATAATTCAGTCAGTCGGGACTATGCAATAAAGCCTTCACACACTCCCTGAGAGGAGCTTAGTGCTCTCTTGGATCCAGCTTCTCAGTGGGAGAGCGCTGCTGGCGCAGAACGCCTCCGCCTGCTAACGCGCCAGGCCCCGGGCTCCACGAGGACAGAGGCTCCTTTATTTGGGACCTTGCCCTATGTATCTCTTCAGCTAGCTGTTAACTTGTGTTAACTGGTAAACATAAGAGTCTTCCTGAGTTCTGTGAGCTGCTCTAGCAAATTAATCAAACCTGAGGGGGAGGTCACTGGAACCTACAATCTGTATCCGGTAGGTCAGGAGCACAGGTAAACCGCCTGGAGCTTGTGACCAGCATCTGAAGCGGGGGTGGTAGGCAGTCTTGTAAGATGGAGCCCTTAACATGGGAAATTTAGTGCTGTCTGTGGACACAGAGCATCAGAATTGACTTCTCCAACACCCTGCTGGTGTTCAAGAACTGCTTGGTGTTAAATATGGGAAGACCCCCTCCCACACACATACACCCATTGGATCTGGGTCCGGGAACCCGAATGGAGTTCTACTACTATTACTGCTGTGTATAATACCATTATTGTTATATATGAAAGAACACATCTCAGAGATATTATAGGAATGGCGCTTACTTCACTGGGTTCCAATGATGATAAAGCAAGAGTATAGGTACAGCTGCTAGATTAGTGTGTAGCAAAAGTACTCACAATGTTGAGAATGAATGGATGACACAGATGCAGCCAGGAAGAGCGGAAGGCACTATGTGCTAGGTAGATGTAAGGGCAGTGCCCAGGAGGCAGGGAAAGTCCACGCTTGTTCAAAAACAAGCCTATATAGCTGGACATTATTAATACTGAAGCAGTCTAAGCTATCACTGGAGAGGTAAGCCAGGACCCAGAACCTGTTGGGCTCTGAAGGAGTTTGATCTTGAGCTTAATTGCAATGGGAAACCACTGCATGTTTATAAAAGCAGAGGGTGAAGAGAATAGACTTGTTTTTTTAAGATGCTCACTACGTATGGTCTGTGAAAAAACAATGAGAATAGGTCAAGAAAGGAGGCAGGTCAACAGCTGGGAGGTGAACATAGGAGTCCAAGAAAGAGAAAATGACGGCATGTACTAGAGTAAAAGAGCAGAGGAGGGGAAATGGAGTGGTCTGGGATTTATTTAGGAAGAGGCAGCAACAGGACTTGGTGGAGTGGAGGTGAGGGGGAGAGGAGTCGAGGATGACTCTTGGTTTCTGACTTCAGTGATGGGATGGTGGAACCACTACAGAAAATGAGAACACTGACAAAAAAAATGACAGGTTTACTTTCAGGCATCAACATCCACATGGATGATTGATTCATCTAATGATTGGCCTCTTGGTTTCTTGACCTCCTCACCTCCAGTGACCATTTTCCCACCCACCTCAGCCCTCTGTGTTGTCAACAACACTGAACCATCTCCAAAATCCGACTCCCTCCTGTCCTTCTAGCTCAGCCACTCAGATTTCAGAGTACATCAAAATCACTCCCTTATAAACACTTTTACCTCACCACCCACACTGTCCACTTTACTGGTAAACCCAACTTGTCTGCACACATTGGGAGGAAAAACAGAACGATGCTGATGAGTAACACTAAAGTCAAGGCTACAGATTTCTAAAAGTCCCCGACAATGCCTCAAAATCCTCATTTTTCCACTCTTGGGAACAATTATTCTCATAACTTATCTCTCAATTTTTCTACCAGAGTTCTCCCTCTTTTCCCCAACCCTGCCTCATATTTCACTGAAAAAATAGAGGCCATTAAACAGGAAGTCTCATCTTCTCACCACCACTTCTACTAACCCACCTGCATTCTGTGGCCACCGCCCTTCCTCCTCTAATGGAGGAAAGCTTCCTACTCCAGAAGCCATCTCCCCACCTGTACTCAGCATCCTTGCCTCCCACCTCCTCCAGGCTCCCCACCTGCGGTTAGCCCTTTTCTCCTGCTCCATCGGTCCTCCCTCTACTGACTCACCACCCATCAGCAGACAGACACGCCAGTGTATATTATCTTCAGAAGAAAACCCTCCCTTACCTCACATTCCATCTCAGGCCCTGCCGCATTTCACACCTCTTCACAGCAGAATTCTTGAACAAGCTATCTAGTCACATTCTCGCCTCGGCCCATTCCAGCTGGGTTTCTGTTCTCATCACTCCGGACTGCTTTTGTTAGGGTTACCGGCTCTCAGTATGTTTGTCAAACCTAGTGCTTCTAGCTTGACCTCTCAGGAGGATCTATCATCGCTGAGTCAAGACTTTACTCTCTCCCAGAGTAAATTTTACTTTTCTTTTTACTTTGGCTATTTCTCCATCTACTTTGCTAATCCTTTCTCTCCTCAGCCTTGAGATGCTAGAAAGAGCCTTAAAGTTCTGTCTTGGATCCTCTTTCAGTCTCTATCCACACACTTTCCTTAGGTAACCTTATTCAAGCCCATGACATCAAATACCATCCATATGATGGTGACTGTTTCTGTAATTCTAGCCTACATCTATTCCCACAACAGCAGCCCAAATTTAACACGGCCAAGACTGAAAGCTTGCTTTCCCCCTCCCCACAAAACTTCTATCCCAAGTCTTCTCATACTAATGTACAATAGCAGCCAGTTCCTCAAGCAAAAAAACTGTCACATTAATACTTCTTTCTCTTACCTACTCTATCTACTCATTCCTACTGACTTTCTCCATAGCATATCCTATCTAATTCCTACCACCTCTTATACTCCCACCCTTGTCCAAATCATCATTAAATCTTGCAGTGTTACTGTAATAGCCTCTTAATTTATCTTTCTACTTCTTCCTAAAATCTGTTTCCCACACAGCAGATACAGTGATCTTAAATCAGTGTTTCTCAAGCTGGGGAGATTTTTGCTCCCATGGCAAATGTCTGGAGACACTTGGCTGTCACAACTGGACAGGTGCCACTTGTATCTAGTGGGTAGAGGCCAGGGGTGCTGCTAATGCACAGAAGAGCCAAGGGCTGAAGCTGGCCCCTTTCTCAGGGCCACAGCCCCACCTACTGGCATTGGAAATGCTCTAGAGGAAAGGTGGCCCTCATCTATTTGAACTTTTCAATGGCTCTCAACTTTACATAAAGAACAAACTTCTTATTCAGGTTTACAAAACTCACTATGATCCCGCCCCTGCCTACTTCTCAGAAATTAATCTCTATCCCTAGCCTCTGTGCTCCAGCTACTAGATACTCCTTTGATCTCTGTATTTGCCAAACTTGTTCTCAGGGCCTTTGCATTAGCTGTTTCCAATGCCTGGTACACTCTTGTGCCTGATCTTTTGTATGGCTGGCTTTTAATCACTTTCAGATTTCGTCTTAAAAGTCAGTCCCTTGAGACACTTAATTTAAGTTCCCTAGTCACTCTCACATCCCCGTTTTATTTCTCTGCAGAGCCCTTACCACTATTTTCTGTGTCTGTCTCTAAAGCTACAGTGTGGACTCCGTGAAAAAGCCTGTCTTGTTCACCTCTGCCTAGTTAGCCCTCAGCAGTGCCTGGTTTATAGGAGGTGCTCAGTAAGTCGGTAATACTGATTAAATGATTAATTTTACACGTTAAGTCTAAGATGCTTACAATACAGTCAAGTGAAGACGTACAGCATACTAGAGTACAAGGAAGAGATAGAGGTTGAAAATAAAATTTGAGAATTAAAAAAAATAAACCAAAGGGCTGCATGAGATGACATAGTAGGAAAGCACACAGATTCTTCTGAAACCAACGTACCATTTATTGCCCTGGGCAATAGAGAAGAGACTCGGAAAAGGGCCCGCGCCGAGCCCCTTTCTGGGGCCCCGGTCTCTCCTCGGAGCCCTCGAGACAAGCTTACGCCCAGCACCTCCCACCCTCGGCCGCTCTCCGCGCACAGGGCCCCCACGCACCTCGGGGGGACCCATCCTGCGGCGCGGCGACCCTCCTGGTGAGCGACGTGCGCTTGGGTCCGCCAGCCTGGGTCTGGAGCCCGTAGGAGAACTGCGGCGGGTCGTTCCAGCCGCGCTCCTTGTTGCCTGCGGAGACGAGGGTGCGTGTGAAGCGAAGCGGGAGGCGGTCTGCACTGCACTCCTCGCGGTACCCGCCCCAGCCTGGGGAGGGGTCGCCCGGTGTCCCCAGCCCGCCGGCCGCGCTCACCCGGCTTCACGTACAGCTCCGCCATGTCCACTTCCGCACGGCCAGCGCGGCAGCGCGTCACTTCCGGGGCGGGCTTGGGCGCTCCCGGGGCCGGCTTACCTGGGGCCCTCCGACGGTCGGAGAGATTCTGTGCGGACCCTGCGCCGGCGACCTAAGGAGCTCGAAATCTCCAGCCAGTGGTGCGCATCGGGGCCCTGACCCCAAGGTACCAAACGGCGCTGTGTCCCGGGAGGCGGCGCTCTGGAAGCCCAAGTCCCCCCGGGTCCAGTCCCTCGTGTCTCACAGATGCTCTCAGGAGCAAATTTAAACCACCAGACGCGCCTGCCCCATTTAGGTCCCTCTGTAATCTAGCCAGATGGGCTTCCAGAGCCTCACCTCTGTCCACTGTTCAACATTTATTCTCTAGACTTATCTTCCGTCAGACCTCATGTGCAAGTCTTCAGAAGCCTAGTAATGCCTCGGGCCAGGTTAAGTGTCACCCGGGCTCCCACAACCCTCGGAGACCTCCTAGTTGCACTACATAGTATCTTCTGTCTTGTTTGACTCTTTGTTCCTCTTCCCTTCTGAGTCTCATTAAGTTTGAACCCCTATGATATCCCCGGTGCCTAGCTTAGTGCACAGCATAGAAAAACCTTAGAATAATATATTTGTTGAAGGAATGAAATCATATTTTCCATCATACCCATGCCTTCATGTGACTACAGGCCAGCAACACCAAGCACAAAGACTCACCTCACACAGGTTGTTGGCCCCTAACCCTGTCCCAGGCCCAACATACTCACATCCAGTACGGTCACTGAGGGATTTTTATTTGTACTGATTTTGCTATAAAGTGTTGCTGAGGTAGAGCCAACTGTCCAGGGCTGGACAGGGGCAAGGAACACAGGGACCCAGGGAAAGGAGGGCCAGGGGCCTGCCCAGGTTGTGGTGCAGGGCCTCTCAGTCATCCATATAAACAATTAATAAATTAGGCAATAAACAGAGGGTGGGTCAGAGTTGGAGGAGCAGGCAGAGAAGGCTCCCAGGGGTGAGAGGCTTCAGGCTCCTGGGATATCAAGGGAAACAAAGTTGGATGTGGACCCAGAGCCTCTTACCCTAGTCCTCCCAGAAAATTTAGGGCATATGGAGCAGAGAAGGTTTCAGCCGGAAGGCATCAAGAAAAGAGAAGACACCGCGCTTTCGAGGGGCTGCTCCTGCACCCCCAATCCCTCCTTTGAGCAGGGGAAGAGGCAGGGGACCTCCTGGGGAGTCCACAGAGCTGGTCCGCTTGATCCGCAGGCGGGCACGGGCCTGGGCACCCCAGGTCTTGCCTCGAGCTGCAGAGGCCACAAGACACTTCTGGTACTGAACCTGTGGAGAAGGGGAATGTGCAGATCCAGTTCCCTTCTGCCCCTCGATTCCCGGAAAGCTTCTGCAGGACAAGGAACTGGCCAAGGCCTCAATCTAATATGAAGCTGATCGTCTGCCACATCTGGAGCCCCTACAGCATTCGCAGATAGCTCAGTAACAAAAACATAAAATTTGACATTTACTGAGCATTTAAGAACTAGACACTGTGCTAATGCTTTCTATAATCTAACTTACTTGTATGTGTACAATTTAACTTAATTCTTTATCAGGTGTTACTATCCCCACTTTGCAAATAAGGAAATTGAGATTCAGAGAGAATATACATGACTTGCCCAAGATCAACTGGCCAGAAAATTCTATGTGGAATTGGGCTCAAACCCAGTTCTGTCTGACTGGAGAACCTGTGCACCTACCACTATGCTAATTCTCCTGCAAGTCTCACTGGGCCAGAGTAGCCCCTGGCAAAGTAGATTCCATTCCCCATGTAAGTGCCCCAGTCTTCTCTCACTTGAATTCAGTGGGGTCCTAAATAGTCTTCCTACTTATTTTCTTGTGTCTTCCAGATCTTTTACCCATACTACAGCTTAAGGACTCCTCCTAATCCACAAACTTGATTGTACCACCCTGCTCAGAACCCTTCAATGGCTCAAAGCGCCATGGGATAAAGCGAACTCGTCACCCTCACCTACAAATCCTTCCATGACCTGGTTTTTGCCATTCTTTCTGCCTTCTCTCACTCCATGCCTCTTGCACTCTGGATACACTAGATGCTTTCAGATACCCTGATCCACTAATAATCTCTCACTTTCACGACTGGGGTTCCCAGTCGTTGTTGCATGCCTTCTGTCCCATCCCCTTCACCTGGCGAACTTCCTCCTTGCACCTTCAACTCTTAGTTTTCTACCACTTCCTTCAGGAGCCTTCCTGAACCCCTGAAGGGGCTGTCTCCATCCTCCTGTGGTGTACAACTCCTTTCTAGGCTGTCTCTGCTCTACCCCAAGTGTTCTGTGAGGGTAAGGCTGTACTATCTATACTACTGAATCCCCAGGGTCAAGTGTGGTGCCACATACTTGACCAGCAGGCACTCCTATTTTGAGTGAGTGAGTGACTGAGTGCCAGTGCAAGAGTCCCACACTCAGATGCCAGGACTATAACCCAAATGAGACAAACAGGAAAACAATGCGAACCTACAAGGCACAGTCCCTACACGATTCCACCCATCAAAATTAACTCTGTGTGGACACACTGTCACAACTGATATTTTTCAAAAAACAGGAATAGCAATTATTAGGTGAAATGTCCTGGATTTTAAATGTTGGCAACTAATTTAAATTTATTAAAAAGCAGCATGAGGGCCAAATAAAACACTAGTGAAATAGAGCCAGCCCTGGGATTGCTGGTTTGTGAGTTCTGGAGAGGTCACTAATTCTGAGCCCCAGCCACCAATACAGAGCAGGCGCAGGGCAATCCCACCCCTCCATTCTCACCCCTAACTCACCATGCAAGCAGCTTGCACAGCTTCAGAGAGTCCCCCTGCATGGGGCTGGCACCAGAAGGCTGCACACTGGAAGCTCTGATGGCCCAGGTCAGCAATGAGGCCAAAGGTGTGTGGGTCATGGCCAACACCAATAAAGGTCACAAGGCGCACAGGGCACTGCCACAATGGCTCCTCCTCTGCACCAGCCTCTGCCTGCTCACAACAGGCCTAGTCACTAGAAGGCCAGGCACTAGCTGGACCCACTGAGTTCTTCCAGCGGCAAGTAATGACCCCTCAGAATAAATGCCCGCCCCCTCACCCCCAAAGCCCCCAACTTCCCCTTCTTCTGGTACCTGAATGGGATGTGCGGTCATGAGAGAGTCAGACACACTGAGCATGGCGGGGACCCAGGCATCCCGGTCCCCCCGGGAGGTGAGGGTACTGATGGCCTCATTCAGCACATCCATGCCTGGAAGGACATTCCCACCATGGTGCTCCCAGACATAAAAAGAGAGGGGATCTGCAAGAAGTGTCTAGGTCCCCCACTGACTTGGGATTCAGAGAGATGGCAGCAGAATAGCGGGGGATGGGCTTAGAATCCTGAGTTGGAAAGGGTAGGACCTTCCCCTTACCTCATGCAGCCCACTCAGTACGCCCGCTCATTCCTCACCCATGGCTTTGGTGACTGGCAGGGTCCCCACATACAGGGCCTCATACTTCTGAGCAGCCTGGCTCACTGCGTCCAGCAGCTCCACTGAAATACACACACACCAAGTTAGCTGGGGCACTCTCTCAATGACTCCCCTCCCCACCCTTCTGAGAGCTGCAGCCAATAGAAGAAAGGCCATGGATGCTCCTCTAATTCAGGGGGTTCCCGGGACCAGGCCATGTCACAAGTCCTGTAACTCCAGAGAAGTACTAAAAACTTAGGGCCTCCCACCTCGCTGCGGTGCAGCGCCTGCCCCCCCATACCTTGCTGTGGCAGGTCTCCAGGAGAGATGGGGTCTAGAGAGCAGCAAGGGGAATCACCACTGACCCCTACTCGCTCTGACAAGATCTGAAACACAACAAGATCTGAAACCAGCAGGGAGAGGGGAACTGAGGTGAAGGAGCAGATACCACCCTGCCCAACAACCTTGGCAGCCACAGACCCGACTCCACACCCGCATTCCTTGCCCCTTACCTGGGCACAAAGCCCATGTAGGGCACTGGCAATAGCCTTGGCAGGGACATCACAACGAAACACATGGCACTTGAGCATACAGCTGTCTTTGTCACCAGCCACAAAAGCGAAGTCCCTGGCAGGGTCAGAGATTGGAGCTGTGGCAGTGGCAGAGACTGGGCTGGGGTAGAGGTTGGGTAAGGGTAGGGGCAGGAGCAGGGGTCTGTAGTGCCTGCAGGAGGCCGGAAAGACAGGCAAGGGATATGGCAGAAATGGGACAGAGTGGTCAGGGCTGGGGCTCAAGTCACCTGGAGGTCACTTACCGGTCACTGTTCCAGAAGCATGGGGGAGCAGAGGAGAGAATCAGCTCAGCCTCTCAGGGTCTCCCCTATCCGGCCCTGCTGAGCTGGGCCCACCCTCCCCAACCAGGGCTAGACCAGGCAGGGGAGGCAGAGCTTGGGTCCATGTCAGAGGATCTGTGTCCAGGGGTTCAAGTACAGGGGATCAGCATCAGTGGGGATCACAGCCTGCAGGGTGGAGGGAGGAGCAACTCTCACTTGGGGGGATGTCAGAATCCTCACCGGCCCTTGGAGCTGCCCACACCCCATATGCGGATGTGCACCAGAGGCTGACAGTGGATCAGACTGTGGTCCAGAGGATTCACCAGACTCATGGCGTCCTTCTTCAGGATCATCAGCATGTTCTGGCCCTGCCAAGGAGGTCAGCCCCGAGCTCAGATGAAGGTGGCTGCCATGGGGAAAAGGCAATTCGGGGACAACTATGTCTGCTGGGCCCTGGACTTGAAGGGCCCACCAGCTCACCTCACCCCAGGCACCATCTGGGGGCTGGCTACAGCTGCGGGTCTGGGCCAGCTGCTGGATGCAGTTATTGACTGCGATACTGCTCTTCCCTGGTACCAAGTCCTCTTCAGGTACCTCTACCCAGCCCAGAGAGCGGACTGAAAAACACTGACAGGTTGGAGGAAGGGACAGGAGGGCCCCGAGTGAGCAGAGGTGCAGTAAGGTTGGAGGTGCCACAAGCCCCACACATATAAACCTCTGGTATCCCTCCCCTTCTCTGGTGACCTCTGCTCAGCCCAATCCCCCCCCTGACTTTCCCTCGGAACACTCCCACACACGTACACACCCCAATGCCCTGGGTTGGTCCTCAGGCCCAAGTCACTACCTTAGCCCCTGGCTCCATGCTCTGGATGTACGATTCCTCACCATACCAGGACAGAGAGTTACTGGAACAGAGCAGAGCTGGTAAGGGGACCACACGTCCCACAGAAGGGACACTGGTGACTACATCACAGACTATTTGATGGGCATGAGTCCCCAAATATAAAATTAGAGGGTGAAGAGCCCAGGACATATTAAATAAACATACTGTGGAATTTGATGAAAAATTCAGGACACAGGACATAGAATAAAAGTTGGAAACATAGAATAGGGTCCAAAACGTGGACCAGAGCCCCAAATTGGGACAAGGGGCCCTAGAACACAGGATACGAACCCCCAGAGAGTCTAGCACAGTAGCCAAGGTCTAGAACATGGTCAGGACCCAGAAAATAGAAAAAAAAATGTAGCAAAAGACAGAACTTTAAACAAAGGACAAAACTCAAAATACTGAGAGAATCAAGAACATGGGACAAAGACAAGAACACAGAATGTAGCTCCAAACATGAGTTCTGGACAGAGCCCAGAACCTGGGCTGGAAAGCAGACTGTGGGTCCAACTTTTGAGCGCCATGGAACCCCAAGCCTTTTGTTTTTGCCTGGCCTATCCCTGTTACCTCCGGTCCAGTGAGCTCTCCAGGCTGGAGAAGGATCTCCCCTTGGGGGGCCGAAGTCCCCAAATCCCCTCCGTCCTCTGTAGAGAGGGGGCTAGGTCAGTGTAGCAGGAGGCCTATATCCACACATGGACTCAGACCCCCTCCTCACACTCCACCTACCGTGCCTGGGTCCTCTGAGTCCCCTGGCTCCCAGCTTGGGCGCTGCCACTGGGTGCTACCACTGGGTACATGCCAGTAGTAAGTACCTGCAGCATCTCGGATCTTCCTCCAGCCAGGGGGCAGGCCTGGCTCTCCTTCCAGATTCTGGTCCCCCCACAAGTCATCTACAGGAGCATGGGATGGGGAGAAGGACCACGGGATTGGGGAGGCAGGGCATATACGTGGGTTCAGAATAACAGCCTGTCATAACCCATCCTCCATCCCAAAGAGGACAACCCTTAGTTGGAGGTTCATTCTGAAGGTCCAGGCTCCCAGTCCTGGATATGGCAGTGCAAAGCCTGGGATTTATTTGTCCCTTGGTCCTCACCCCGAGACGAGCCTCCTCTCCCTTTCTTTAAGCCTTGAGATAGCCTTTCGCCCTCCCTCGTACCCCCTCAGCTCCCGATCCTCCCGTCGGGGCCCACTGTGCACACCATCGCAGTTGACCAGAATGATGGCCAGCATGTAATCCTTGCCCAGCATTGCCCCGGCCTCGTCCCTGCCGGCTTTCGCCAGCCCGCACGCTCAGCCCAGTTGGTCCTCCGCAGGTGCGGCGCCTCACAGGGCCAGCCTCTCTGCGCCGGAGTAGCGGGCCAGCCGGCGCAGCACAAATATGGGGCGGGGCAGGGGCTGGGTCCCAAGAGCGGGAAAGGACGGGCCTGAGCAGCACCGCCGGCCGAGGGGTGGGGCGTGTAAACGGGCGGCAGGATCCCCAAGTAGGTGAGCTTCCCGGTGCGCGGCTCCAGGGGAGGCGCACTGTCGCTAACGTCACCGCGCCACCATGAGCTCATCAAGGGGCGGAAGACCCTCGAGGCGAACGTGCGCGGCGCACACACGCGCACGAATGAGATCATCGCGCCCAGGTCGTATGCGCGCGCGCACACGCAGCCTGTGTCTCGAAGGGAAGAGTCACGAGAGGGCATCTGCGAAAAGGAGACCGCCCGGCCTCGGCCGCCAGGAAAACGCCTCTACCCTTTTCAAAAATACCCGGGAAGTTCTTCCGCCCTCAGTAAAGATGGCCGTAACACTTGGCGTGAGGAAGGCGGGGCTGCGCCTGCGCAGCAAGTTCGGCGGGGAAGATGGCGGATGACAAGGTGAGTGGATGTGGAGGTTAGGTTAGCTGCAGTCTGGGGTGGTCTTCACATCTTTTTAGTCCTGAGAAGAAGCGCACTGGAGCGGCTCGTGGGCCGGGAGCAAGAGGGCTGCCCCTTATTTCCCTTAGGGCTGACTTTCACTCTTGCTGACCCCTTCAGCAGTGGGGAGGAAGTGCCGGAGCCCTGCGAGGTAGGAGGAGCCGGGGATTCCCCACGTGCCCCCTCCCGAGACCATCAGGATCCTTAATTATTCTCACACTCAAAACATTCATTCTGACACACACCTCACCCTGCTCTATCCCCTAGCCCCCGAAATTTCTCTCCCAAATACACGATATTTCCAATCCACGCGGCTACTCACACCCTCATTCAGACACTCCCTTGCGCACACATTGAATGTCATACTTAGAAGCGATCAGAATCCCTCGGTTCATTTACGTTCACTCTTGTAGCCACCCTCCGCATCCAGTCGCATATACGGTTTAGGAATGGCCTTGGGAGAAGGGAAAGCCCTTGCAGAAATCAGGATTACCCCCAAATTGCCCAGGGAACTGCCTCAGGCCTTTGCTCACTCACCATCTGTCTGGAAGTTCAGCATCACTCACACATTTACTAAGTACTGCTACCCCTTTTGTTAGGCCTATGGACGCAGGAGACAAGATAGACTAGTCCCACTATCAGATAGCTTATAGTCAAGTCACTAGTTATTACTTGATAAACCTAATTGAAGGTCCCTAACAGTTCCTCCTGTCTCCCCTACCACTGTTTGCTGTATAATATTCTGTAAGTGTGTTGTAAGTCACTGATGCAGAGCCCATCTCTCATCCCTTCCTTGGCCTGCGTGTGTTCTTTTACTTTTTGATGCCTTTCTTCCTGTACCACTGTTGCCTCAGGAAGATTTCATAAGAGGAGGTTTCTTGGGCTCACCCCTTACCCATGTCCGCAATCTGATAAACTTGAGCAGAGGATGGGTCTGGGTCAACCTGCTGAAACTAGCGTCTCCTTTGTGCTAGGATTCTCTGCCCAAGCTTAAGGACCTGGCGTTTCTCAAGAACCAGCTGGAGCGCCTACAGCAGCGTGTGGAAGACGAAGTAAACAGTGGTGTGAGCCAGGTAGAGCTGACTGCCCCGCTCCCCTTAAGCTTTATTTGCCACTGTGCTTTTGAAGGGGTGATAAAGATTTATTCAGTAAATGCTTACTGACGTCCTGTTCTCTGTGACCCCAAGGAAAGTTTCCCTGAGAAAATGATACTTAACTGGGATCTTAAGTAGTAAACTATATAAGGAGGGGAGGAGGGGACATTCCAGGCAAATGGAATAGCATATATAAAGCCCTTGGGGTGGAAGGTAACAGGATGAACATGAGATGAAAGTTCAGTTAGGCTTCAGTAGTTCGGGAGCACGCCAGAACATTAGGCTGGAGAAGCAGGCAGGGGTCAGATTCCTCTCTCTGGCCTTGTAGCAGCAGGCTTCTGTGATTGGAGCCTTCTAACTCTAGTGTTTTGAGATCGTGTGGTCAGTATTCCTAGGTTCTTTTTATGCCTCCAGAACCTTGAGAACTCTTTGGAGAGAACTGTAGAGCTTCCCAGAGTAAAAAGGACCAAGCAGTGGGGTGCTCGGAGCCCAGCTTGAGTAGCTCTTAGGAGAGAAGGGGAGAGCCTGGCTCAGTTTCCTCCTACATTTTCCTCCACAGGATGGCTCGCTCCTGTCCTCCCCATTCCTCAAAGGCTTCCTGGCCGGCTACGTGGTGGCCAAACTGAGGGCATCAGCAGTATTGGGCTTTGCTGTGGGCACTTGTACTGGCATCTACGCAGCTCAGGCATATGCTGTACCCAATGTGGAGAAGACGTTGAGGGACTATCTTCGGTCACTGCGCAAGGGGCCCGACTAGCTCTGGATCCTGTGGGGGAGGCGAGATGAGCAGCTGGGGCCTGCAGGTAGAGGCCTTGAGACCACAGATGCCCTATCTAGCTTCCCCAGCTGTCACCCATTTGCTATCTCCAACTTGTCCACTGCCATCCTCCTCGCTTCCCGTCCTGCAGAGGGTGGACAGTGGCTCATCAGCCAGTACCTTGGACTCCTTCCCCCCATAACTGCCTAGACTGGCCCCAAGACTGTGGCTTCTAGGGCCACCAGCCCCTTCCTCTTCCAGCCCTGACTGTGGAGTTTGCAGCTGACGCTGGTCCTCAGTTTCTCTCTGGCGATGTACCACGGCTCCTCCCTCCAGGGAGCCAGCTCCATAACTTCATTTTCCCCAAACATGTCTCAATCCCTACTGCCCCCCTTGCAAGCTGTACAAGCCGTCGAGGGTCAGGTTTGGGCATGAGTGTAGAGGATGGGGGTATGCCAGGCCTGGGCCGTCCCAGGCAGGCCCACTGGACCCTGATGCTGCTCCTGTCCACTGCCACGTATGGTGCCCACGCCCCATTGCTGGCACTGTGCCAAGTGGATGGCCGCGTGCCCTTCCAAGCCCTCCTCAGCCATGCTGCTGACTGAGCTGACCAAGCTGCTGTTGTGCGCCTTCTCCCTCCTGGCAGACTGGCAAGCATGGCCCCAGGGGGCTCCACCCTGGCGCCAGGCTGCCCCCTTCGCCCTATCAGCCCTGCTCTATGGCGCTAACAACAACCTGGTGATCTATCTGCAATGTCACGTGGATCCCAGTACCTACCAGGTGCTGAGCAATCTCGAGATCGGAATCACAGCCCTGTTCTACTGCCTCTGCCTCCAGCACCGCCTCTCTGCGCGCCAGGGCCTGGCACTCATGCTGCTCATGGCAGCAGGGGCCCGCTGTGCAGCTGGTGGCCTCCAGGACCCTGGACACACCCTTCCGGGGCCCCCTCCAGCCGCTGCCGCTGGCCGCATGGCCCTGCGTCTCACTCCGCGGGGACCGCTGCTGCTCATCCTGTGCTGCCTCATCTCGGGCTTGCCGTCCGTGTACACAGAGCTGCTCATGAAGCGGCAGCGGCTGCCTCCGGCTCCAGAACCTCTTCCTCTACACATGCGGTGTGCTTCTGCACCTAGGCCCGCACGCTGGCGGCGGCCCTGGCCCAGGCCTCCTGGAGGGCTTCTCAGGCTGGGCACTCGTGGTGCTGAGCCAGGCCCTGAACGGGCTGCTCGTGTCCACTGTCCTGAAGCACGGCGGCAGCATCACCCGCCTCTTCGTCGTGTCCTGCTCGCTCGTGGTGAACGCTGCGCTCTCGGCAGCCCTGCTGCGGCTGCAGCTCACAGCCACCTTTTTCCTGGCCGCGCTGCTCATCGGCCTGGCTGTGCGCCTGTACTATGGCAGCCGCCAGCCCCCAACCACCTCCACCCTGACGCCTGAGCCTGTAAGCTGGGCGCCCCCATCAGAGCTGCTTTCCAGCCCCAGCCCACCTCCACCCCCAAAAGTCCTGTAAAAAGTGCCTTGTGAGAAAAGCTGGGAAGGGAGAGCAGCCAGGTTAGTCTCTAGAGGTGTGTGGATGAGCGGTTACGCCTGGAAGACGCAAAGACTGGGTTTGGTTAAGGAAGCCTTTACCTGCCCCTCCCTTAGCCAAGCCCTCCCAGACTAAGGAATTGGGAGAGCGTCAGTACCTGTGCCTGAGAAATGACCCCACGCCTGATGGAGGAGGCTCCCCGCCTCATTCGGATGAATGCATTTGCTTAAGTGGGGTGAGGGCACCAGTTGGCTTTCCTTGCTTCCTGTGGTCACACCAGCAGACCGCTGCACCCAGGCCTGGGGCTGGCTGCGGTGCCTGACTCCTCCCCAAGGGATACTCACCCCCCACTGTCATGCAGGAAGGCCCGGTTGTCACAGATTACACACCCCTCGCCCAGCCACTCTGCCAGGCTACCCCAGCTCCCGCGGCACTCGGAACATGGGGCCTCTGCACTCTCCACCGGATGACTCTGCAGCCTTTGTTCGGGAAACCTCAGAGAGGGCTGGCGCTTGACTCGTCTCGGAATGCTTCCCCTGGGCCCTGACTCAGGCCTACACTCAACCTCTCTGCTCGCCCAAAGGGCTCTCTTGAAGCCCGCTGCTCCTCTGTGCCCCTAGGAGATAGCATCCATCCCACTCTGGGTCCTGCCCCTGCCTGGGAGTGTCCCAGCCCCCAAAAGCCTAGGGAAGCTCTACACAGAGTGACCAAGGACCAGGCACAGGGAAACTTGTACAGCTCAATCAGTGACTCTTAACTGCGTAAGCAATAAGGTCTTAATAAATTGTTCTGGGGTGCAGGTAGTTCCTACAATCACCTCTGATTGTCCTGCGTGTTCTCTGTTGGCATATAGTTCCTCAAACATAATGTCCTTCCCCTGGTGCCCTGAGTATCTTAATCCTGAGGTAATTCTTAGACTAGGCAGAAAGGCTGTTTATTGCCAGGAGCATTATCTGGTTTGAGGACTCCATGGGACTGAGATTATTCTCTGTCAGCAGAGCTTTTGAAACCTCTGAAGCACAAAACTCGGGCCCTGAGGAATTTGGAGGGATTTTGGTACTGGAAGGTGCTGCACCTAGAAAGACGAGCTAGTGTCTAGGCTGGAGAAGAGCTCGTAAGAACTCAGTGTGGTTTTGATTCTCATTTCCTCTGACTCCCTCACGGATACTCCTGCCTGTCATCTCTCCTTATGGCTGGTGGAATGTCAGGCCCTGTTCCTGTGGCAGAATACCTGGTAGGCTGGTTAAAATAAAATGTCCCAGATCTATTGAAACAGAATCTTACAGAGCAGAGTTTGAGAATCTTTTTTTCTCTTTTTTCTTTCCTTTTTAAAAAAATAAGCTTCCTAGGTGATTCTGATGCATAGTACAGCTTGTAAACCACTCCTGTCCAGTGCAGACCATAGCCAATAAGGCATGAATGAATTCTAATTCTGCCACTTAGCTGACTCCTTAGGCAGTTACTTAACCTCTCCTAGCTTTAGGTGCTGTATCTCTGAAATGGGAGTCAAATAGTAGCTACTACTGGTAGGGTAGTAGAAAAGCCTAAATGAAATAACGGATATTAGGCACTCAACAGGGACTGGCACAATGAGACCATGTTAGTGGTATTAATTATCCATAATGAAGGTTAGTTTGGTTATCGTGACCCAACTTCCTCTCCTCTTAGGACCCTTAAGAGAGGAAACTGCTTCTGCAGGATTCCTGGTCATCACATATCTCCCTAAGGCAAGGATCCAGCCTAGTCTGTATCCTGCCGAAGCTGCTGGTCCTGGGCTTGTAGCTCCTGGTTCTGTGTGGCCAGGTTGATGGTGTCTTGCAGGATGCTGGCCAGCAGGCTGTGATAACGATGCTCTGTGGTCCCAGCCTGCTCCTCCAATAGCTCCCGCCAGGTGTGGCCCTATGGCCAGATTCAGAGGTGCCTGTCAGTCAGCCTGAGGACTAGCTCCAGGTGTGCCTTCTGTCCCCACGGACCTGCCGCATGTCTGAGCTCAGGCAGCCTACATGTGCAGGTCAAAGAGGGCTACCAGGCCCTGCTCTGCGGTGTTCCGCTCTGCCGGGAGGGTCCCCAGCTGGAGTCTCAGCACTGTCTGCTCCAGGAGCCATCTCTGCCTCTCTTCCGAGACCTTCAGTAATAATACACATTTTTTGTTCAATGCCACCTGTATGCCAGGCTCTGTTCTAAGCACTTCATGCATATTATCTTGTTTTATACAATGATAACCATGTGAGGCAGTTGCCATTTTACAGATTTGGAAAGAATGGATCAGAGAAACGAACTAACTTGCCCAAATGCACTGAGACGACATGCCTTTCACTGGTCCACCATCATCCTCAGGGTAAAATCCAAATTCAGAGGCATGGCACACACTGGTCTTCTTAGCCTTGCCTCTGACCATGTGCCTGCCAGGCCCCAACCAGGTGGACAATTTGCATTACCCAAAAGCTGCTTTGCCTTTGTCTCCCTCTGGACCTTTGCTTATACCCCACCTCCCCCCAACACACAGACACACACGCGTTATTACTGAGCGCCTCTGTGGGATGAGCACAAATTGCCCCTGCGGAGCTCAGTCTACTGAATTCCTCTGGCTGATTTGTCCTTTAAATCTCAGCTTAGATGACATCTCTGATCCACTCCAGCCTGGATCGGGTATACCTCCTTGTTCCCATAAGCCCCTGCTCCCCCGATCACAGCACTTAGCACTGAAAATTGCCTCATCTCCCCCCAACAAAACTGTGAGGGCCGCGAGAGAGAGTATGGCCCAGGCTGTTGGGACCGAGACTGGCTCCCAGCCAGCCCCCAGCACAGTGCATGGCCCAGTTAGAGGGAGCCTCAAATTTCCTATTTGACCCTCCTCACCTTTTCTCCAGCCACTAGTCCTTTGACTTGGTCACCTGCCACCACCACCTCCTGTTCCAAACGCTTCAGTTCCTCTTGGATCCAGATTTGGTGCTGTTCTTGCAGTCTCTGTCTCTGGGCCTGGGCCAGGAAGAATTGCAGGGCCACATCTGGTGTCTGCCAGGACCTAACTGGCCCAGAAGAACCTACAGCCCAGACAGACTCAGAGGCCACAGTGGGAGAAGAGAGAGATTGACTCTGCCAGTGGGTGCTGTGGAAGCCATAAGGTCCTATACCCCTGAACTGACCCAGTAGGAAAGCAGCCCGTTCCTATGCCCCTCCCTTAGGTAGCCCTTCAGGTCCTTTGCTGGCCAGAAGCTCCACAGTTCTCCCTGATACTGGGGCAGGGCAAGCAGAAAACATATTAGCTGGGCTCTGCAGCTGTTCACCAATAGCTTCCAGTTCTGGGGTACATGAGGTACTACTGCCTGGTCTCCAGAATCCCTGACAGGATGCTTTTGGTGGAGCCCAGATCCTAGAGATGCTGTTCCTCCAGTGAAGGAAAATGCAGTTAAACACAACAAAGGTGGAGAAAACACACACACCTTCCACCCTGAGAGGCCGGGGCTGCCTGTGACTTCCTGTTGAATCCATCACCTGCTCAGAATGTATTAGGAGTGGGAATTCATGCCCCAGGGCAGCATGGGTTATGCTCAGGGCTTTAAAATCACACCAAGGTGTCAGCCCATTCTTTTCTTAGCTGTATGACCACAGGCAGGTGACTAGACTTGAGTTTCCATTTCCTCATCTGTAAAGTAGAGCTGATAAACTGGGTGGAGAACATGAAATAAGGCCCCCAAAATACTGAATTGGCAGGCACTGTTCAGTAAATGGGAGCTCACGTGTCTAATTCTCAAGGCCGGGAGCAGTAGGAACAACTTTCAAGGGATTATGAGAAGGGAGAAGGACCAGGAGGAGCTGAGAGGAAGCAGCATTCCAGCCCCCGTGTGTCAAATCATGGAAGACAGCGCCCCCTTGTGCACGAGAGAGGCAGGTCATGCGCCCTAAGGGGGTGCAAGAGACCACATTGAGTCTAAGGACTCGGATGTGTTTGCACCTCTGCTGCCTTTGTTTATGCCAGTGACCCGGGTGATTGAGAGCCATTCTCTGCTGAGGCTGTTTGTCACCCAGGAAGTGGGTGCAATGTTGTCTTCCTTGCTTAAAATAATTCTGTGGCTTCCCCTTGAATTCAAGACCAACTCCAAACATCTTAATACATTTACAGCCTTATATGACCAGGCCCCTACTTCAGTCTCCAGTCATTCTTTTTTTTAACTGAAATATTGTTGATATACAACCTTATATTGGTTTCAAATGTACAACACAGTGGTTCATCCAGTCTTTTTCTCTAGACTCTCTTCCTGAAACTCTGTTCTCCAACAAATCGAGTCCCCCAAAGAGATCAAGAACTTGCTTACCTCTGAGACTGCTTCTTATTTCCTCTGCCTGGAACGATCTTCATTCATTTTTGCTGGCCACATCCTTCAGGAATCAAGTTCCTCCATAAACTCTTCCTTCCCTCTCTTTGTCAAGACTAACTTAGATGCCCCATAGAACCCTGTGTTGATAGCCCTTCAGAGCCCTGATAATGGAGTTGTCATTGTTTTTTCAGCAGACTGTAAACTCTATGAGGACAGTGATTTCCCAGGGCCTACAGAAGTGTTTGGGAATCAATATACTAATGAGGGAAGGATGGGTCCCCTCTTACTGCTCTGTAAACGGAGGAGAGGAAGACAGACATCAGTGGGGCTCCCAAGAGGTTGGATGAGAAGACATTCCAGTGGTTCAGGGCACCCCTTTGAGCATCCGGCTTCCTGGGCACCGACTCCAGGCTTTCACCACCTATGGGGAGAAGGTTCAGGGTGGCCTCTGGCCATTGCTGGTCCGAGTACTTCCAGGCCTCAGGTTGCTCACCGGCAATTGTCGCAGAGCCCTGCCCAGCTTCCTGAGCCCACTCTGTCAGGGTGGCCCCGAGGAGGCGTGCATGCAGGCTCTTCGGGCCAGCCTGGCGGGCCCAGGGCTCTTCCACTGCATCCCGCAGGGAGGGCCTTGCCTGTTTCCCCAGCATCCTCCTTCCCGCAGTCCCCAACAGAGCAGCCTGCAGCAAGCTCGGGGAGCTTCCTAGGAAGGGGAGACCCCCAGGGAATCATTCCTTCCTCTGGACTCCAAAGCTCACTGTCTATAATACTTTAAATTTTTATAATGTATAAAATAAGCTAACACCTATCAGACTCTTACATGTGCTTGATGGCATTGTGCTAAGGTTTTTCTTGGATTGCCCAATCCACACCACTCTCCAGTGAGTCAACAACTCCAATTCATGCTGCCTCCCCCCCACATTTCTCAGATGAAGCAACTGAAGCTCAGAGGGGACAAGCAACTTCCTGGTCAGCGGCAGAGCTGAAACCCAAGCCCAGTTCTGTCTGGCACTGAAGTCTGTGCCCTTAATCATAATACCAAAACTGGCCTATAGATAAACACACTTCTGTCCCTCACTGCTTTATCCTTGAGGGCGGGAAGGGTTCCGGATTAACTTCCTCATTCCACAGGGCCTGGTGCAGGAAGGAGGAAGTCTGGGAATATGTTGGTCTAATGAATGTGTGTTTACTGATTTTAGAGACAATAGGAAAGCCAGACATTTTTTTGCTCTTTTATTGCGCAATTTTCAAACCTATACAGTGTATAAGAAATCCATCTACAGGGACTCTCTTGTCCCCTCCTGGCGTGAGTCGGGAGCTCTGTCCTTTCACTTTATCTCTAAATAAAAGCCTGTACCTTGCTCTCCTAAAAAAAAAGAAATCCATCTACTTATTCCCCAGCTTCAGCACTTGTCAGCTCGGCCATTCCTGTTTGATCCTACCACCCGCTTGACCTGCCCCCAATCTCTGACATGGTATCATTTCACACAGGCTTGATTTTTAATGGGTGTGTGAAAATAGGAAGTGCCTTCCCTTTCCTGAGCCTCCCTTTCCTCATCTGTAAATTAAATCAGCCTTATGAGGCTGTGGCAAGGATGAAAGGTATTAGACAGTGTAAAAATGCTTGGCAAACTGCTGAAGGCCTTTGCAGGGCGAGGGGCTGCTTTTACTATAGACCCTGCCATCCCAGACTTTGGCAGCCTCGCCATCCTGGGACCTTTCTGAATCCTGCCCCTCCCAGATGGTCAGGCTCTTTCTAAGCTGGGGTTGGGGCTGTGGCTGGTTGGGTGAGAGGGTGGGGTAGGCCTAAGGCCAGATCCCAGAGCTTCCCATAGAACCCCGGGCAACCTTGAGGGTCCAGAAGAAAAAGAAGAAGGCCACTGTAGTTGTTTCCTTCCAGGAGCCATGAGACAGTCCAGGGCCGAGAGCCCTCTGCCTGCTCACCAACAACCTCACCAGCCAATACCTGTAGCAGGGGGCAATCTCTGCCAGAGGGAAGGCGGAGAAAAGATGTCCTGACACCTCAATAATAAAAAGACAACCCAAGTCAAACCTGACTAAGTAAGGTGACAATCAACAAAAATGGCAGAGGGGGGAATTCTGGGGGTCCCTCCCCAGATACATCTGGCAAAAATGGTGAGAATCAACCTTATAGAACTCTGGGAGACAGTCAAAGGTTTATGGCAACTAAGTGAATGCTTAACCAGGAGAAAGGCAACTTAAGTTTGGTAAAAGATCATACTTACATCATAAAACATATGATGTTTTATCTCACCCTAGCCCCAGCCTCCTCCCAAGCACAGAGGTGGTCGTGAAGACAAAGGCCCACATATCTGGTTACTTGGTTCTCTGGGGAGCAGTTCACATTATGTTCCCAAGGAACGTGTGTTTGTCTGTTTTGACTGTCTGGGGATCCCCACCAGGACTGATGAAAGGGGTTTCCCGTTGTTCTCCTATCTTGAATCTCTCTCAGGGCAGAACAACCATGGCAGAGGACAGTCCCTCAGAACATTGAAAAATGAAAGAACAGGCAAAAATAATAGTTGGGGAAAATGATAAACACATGGAAAGATGGGGAGGAAAAGTTGGAAAGTCAGATTTTAGGGGAATAAGGATGTTGAAAAGTTCCCACATGTACTGGGGACCTTAGAAAGCCACACACATACCCAGGGCAGGATGCATGTTCAGAAAAAACCTGAGAAGACCGTAGCTTTCACCTTTAGCTGATTTTTAGGCTCAGCACAAGCAGGGGGTGAGGTGAAGGCAGAGCTGTAAATGGCCCAGCTAAGCATAGAATGAGCGACCCAACATAGAGCCAATCTGTAGAAACCTGGAAATTTTTTTTCTTTTTTCTTTTTCCTGACTTTTTTCCCCTCCTGTTCTACTCCTGCTTCTTACCTTTTCTTCCTTTTTCTCTTACTTAAAAAAAATTATTTTTGTCCCAACAGTTTAAGTAATTTTTTCATGTCACTGTCTAACCACTGAGATAACAGAATGGAGACTTATGTAACCACAAACAATATGGTCCTTGCAAAAAATTGTTTTGAAAAGTAACTAAGCAAACAGATAACTGCAACCCATAACAAGCAACAATACAAACCCTGAAAAGGAGAGAGAATCTAGTTTTCAGAATTACCACATTATCATATACAAAATGTCAGAGGTCTAAGGAAAGGAGGGGAGACTTAAAAGGCCAAAACAAACAGAATACATTACAAAAAATACTAAAATTGGCCAGTTTCCAACAAAAAATTATCAAGCATGCAAATAAAGTATGGCTCCATTCATAAGAACAAGAAGAAATGAACAAACTGATCTGAGGAAACACAGACAATGGATTCACTAGACAAAGACTTTAATTCAACTTCCTTAAATGTGCTCAGAAAGCTAAAGGGAATCAAGAAAATGATGTCTCATTTCTTGATTTCTCTGAATAGAGAATATCAATAGAAGGATAGAAATTGTAAAAAAAAAAAAAAAAAGGACCTAAGCAGAAATTCTAGAGATGGAATTTAAAATCTGCTAGAGGGAAGATCTGAGCAGGCTCAAGGAAGAATCTCAGTAAGCCCAAAGGTAGGTCAAATAAGATATGCCTTCCCTTCGCTGAGCCTCATCTATAAATTAGGCCTGCCTCTCTTTCCTCATCTGTAAATTAAATCAGCATTATGAGGTTGTGGTATGAGTCTGAGGAACAGAAAGAAAAAAGAATGCAGGAAAATGAGACTAGGAGTCCTGTGGGATTCCGTCAAATGCACAAACACGCATAATGGGAGTCTCGGGAGAAAAGAGAGAGAAAGGGACAGGAAGAATATTTGAAGAATATTTGTGCAAAATTCCCCAAATTTTATGAAAGACATGAATCTATACATCCAAGAAGCTCAACTAATTCCAAGGAGGACTAACTCAAAGAGATCCCCACTAAGACACATTATAATCATACTGTCAAAAGCCAAAGTCAGAGAGGGAATCTTGAAAACAGAGAGAAGCAATTTGTTACATACAAGAGATCCTCAATAAGATTAAAACACAGTTACTCATCAGAAACCACGGAGGCCAGGAGGCAGAGAGATGACATATTCAAAGTGCCAAAAGAAAAAACCTGTCAACTATGGATTCTGTATTTGGCCAAACTATCCTTCAAAGATGTAGGAGAAATTAAGATATTCCCTGATAAACAAAAGCTGAGGGAGTTCATTGCTAGTAGACCTGCCTCACAAGAAATGCTAAAGGGAGTTTCTTTGGCATGTCAAAGGTGAGGAAAGGAGTTGACTCTCATGCTATCCTGGGCCTCTACATCCATATTTCAGCCAACCCCTCAAAGCAGTCAGAAGTCTCCATCAGATTTACAGGGCTCCTGGGGGCTGCAGGATCCTCAAGGCCCCTTGCCACACATGCTGGGTCCCAAGCCCCTCAGAAGGGTCAAGCCCTGGGCAGGACATGGTAACAGTGAGCAGAGAGCAGGCCCTGTGGAGGAGCAGGTAGGATCAGGCCAAATGCCTAGGGGGCTGAGAGGTGCCATGTGCCCTCGGATCCTCACCTGCCTTCACCCCCTGCAGCCTGCACGTACAGCTGTGAGACAGCACTTGAGCCAGACACCTCCACTTCACCGGCATCTCCCACCACCCTGGAGGAAGGAAAGGCTAGGCTCAGCTCCTAAGCACCTGGGTTATGTCCAGCCCCCCAGAACCTCTTCACAGGGAGCCCATGGGGATCCCAAGAGCCTGTTAGAATCATCCCCAAGGTTCGAATCTCAGAGTACCCCCTAACAGCCTCTCATCCTCATTATCTTATTTTTCTCCTGTCATCTGCCCATGGAGGGAAACAGAATAGCTGGGATTGCTCCCATTTTACAGATAGAGAAATTGAAGTTTTGCTCAGTGAGATACTCAAATCATCCAGGATGATAATGACTGAGTTGAAGTGTAAATGGATGGAGTAGAAGAGTGAGAGGAATGGGGACGTGGGATAAAGGGGTGATGGTGAGAGGAAGTCCTGGGAGCAAACCCAGGCCCTGTAAGCATGAGCCCAAGCTCAGGGCTTCCCTTCCCTGGGGTGGCAGTGAAGAGAAACCTCCAAGGGCTCAGTTTGGGGATGTCAGCCAGGCCTTCAGCAAGCACTCTCAGGCCCAGTTGGGCCCCGGATGCTCATGAACCCAGAGGAGCCGCATCCGGTACTGACAGGTTCTCGGACCCTGGAGAGCGCAGGTCCCGAGTCCTCCCGCGGGGACTGAGCTGGGATCACACAAGCACGACACCCGTTACAAACCAAGTCTCTCCCAGCTTTCAGCTCAGATGATCCTCCCAGTGGAGCCCTGTGGGCCAATCAGGGAACCAAAGGTTAGCCATTCAGGCCGGAAAAGGGAAATCCAAGAGAGGCAAGCCTGCACGGGTGAGCGGCAGAGTGGGGCTAGATCCAAGCTCCTCTGTCTGCCCGCCAGTCTCAGGCTCTTTCTGCAGCATCACCGTGGCCTTGGCTCCCAGGTCGCCTCCCCCTCAGGTCCCACCTACCCCAGGCTAAGAGTACTAGGTGCAGAGTCAGAGCCCCTGAGCGGCAGAGCTTCCTCAAACAGCATCTGCAGCAGCTAAAATGGAGAAAGTGGTTCCATGGGGATTGAGAAAGAATCAATCTGTCCTTCAACTTTCCTGAGGGTGAGGTCTGTGCCTGGCCCTGTGCTAGGTGCTATGCACACAGCAACCAGGACAGAAATAGCCCCAGGCCCCAGGGTTCACAGTGAGCCCGACACACGAGCAAACATTTTCAGTGGGAGCTGCAGTTTGCTAGGGCAGAGGCCCATGATAAGGGCCTGAGGCAGCTATTGATTTGGGGGCATTTTTGTGAAGCTCAAAAACCAAAATTTTCAAGTTTATTAGCATTATTAGTATTACCAAGAGCTTTAAAAATTAGCCCTCACTGGATATTTGATCTCTGCACACCATCTTACCTTGACCCTCACTCTATGGGCACCAGCCTCCTACCTTCCCTGACCTCTCATTAGCTGCATAGATTGACCCTGGCAAAATGTCCTATAGGGACCACAGGGCACTATAGGAACCGAGGGAGGGACACGTAGCCGAGGGTAGAGAGGGAATGTTCTCAAAGGTATCCTGGAGGAGGCAGCATTTGAGCTCATGAGATCTATGCCCGATGGCTCCACTGGGACTCACCTGAGGCACAAGCCGGGGTGCCTCTGTTTCCCGACCCCAAAGCAGCAGGTTCACGCTGTACCCTCGGCCCACCAAGCCCAGCGTGGGCTGGACTTGTGCTAGCAGCTTCTGCTCTGCCTCCTGCAGGGAGACCCAGGCGCATCCCCTGTCTCAGGTGCCCTGACCCAGCCCCCCCTGAGCAAAGGGCAGCACTAAGCATCACAGGATCCAGGGGCCTAAGGGCTCCCATCCTCCTCCATTGCCCGTCAGACCCTCTACCTCAGCAGCATCAGAGCCCAGGACTGTCAAAGGTGACGCATTGTTCCTCTGGGCAGGGCTGGGGTCAGCAGTGTCACTCCATCTTCACCGCCCTCATCTGCACCCCATCCCATCTCTGCCTGAGTCTCTAGAGTCCTGGGCTGAAGCAGGCGGATGCTCTTGGGCCCCCCCAGGAAGAGTGTGGGGTGACAGGTCTCCTCAGGGCTTGAGAAGGGTGGATTTCATATCAACTCTTGTTGGGGACACTGAGCTCCCAGCACTCCTGAGTCCTGGCCTCCCCCTTTGCCCCAGTTTCCTAACCTGAAATGGCCTTGCCCTCTGCCTCTCCCAAGAGGCTCTCCCAGGCTGCACCAGCTCTGAGAATGAACGTATGGGGGCTTCTCGCCTGGTCCTCTCCCTCGCTGTACTTCCACCACCGTGGTCAGCCTGGCCTGTGCGCTGCCAGTGAGGGCTGAGGGGCTGAGCTGCCCCGGCCCAAACCAGCCCCTGCGCTTGCCACTTCTCCGCTCTCCGTGGCTTCCAGGCCTCTCAGATTGCCCTCAATAATTCATCCCCCTGATCTGAAGGCCTTGGGCGAGGCCTCTAAATAATAACTATCAAAGGAGGGCACAGTCCCATCTTTTGTGAGTCAGAACATTGCATGGGATTCTTCTTTTTTTCCCCTCTTATGAAAAATGTCAAACATATAACTGTGGAGAGAATAACATAATGAACCTCCAAGCACCTAGTTTCAGCAGTTATCAACTTATGGCCAGTCTTATTTCTTCTGTTCCTCTCCCCATCCTCAGTGGATTCTCTTGAAGCAAATCCCAGACATTTATATTTCATCCACAGCTATTTGGGCATATATTTATAAATGACAACCACCCTTTTAAAAAATATTATAACTTTATTGAGATGTGATTCATATACCGTACAATTCACCCATTTAAAGTATATATTTCAATGTTTTTTAAAAATATCTTTGCAGATATGTGTAACTATCATCAGTTAATTTTAGAACATTTCTGTAACTTTATAAAAACCTTTGGTTTCCCTTACTGTCACCTCCCTAGCCCCACTCCACCCTGACCCCTAAGCAACTACTAATCTACTTCCTATCTCTATAGAGTAGCGTATTCTGGACATTTCATAAAAATGGAATCACACAGTATGTGTTCTTTTTATGACTGGCTTCTTTCACTTTGCATAATGTTTTCAGAGTTCATCCGTGGTATAGCATGTGTTGTACTCCTTTCCTTTCTGTGGCTGTTACGGAAAACCTGGAATGGATCGTCGATGGAAGAATAAAGCGGCACTCGGAGGGCTCGGAGGGTGGAGGTTTATGTCACACTGGTGGGCTCAGAGGGGAGTGATCTCCCAAGGTCTGAGCCCCGAGCACAAACAAGGGCAGTGATTTATACCTTTTTTTATATGTGACATTTCAGCGTGTGCAGCAAGCAGGGTGAAAGGGGAGCCTGCAGGAGTGAGGCCCAGAGGAGTGAGGGGAGGGCGGCCGGGAGTGTGCTGCTGACCTTGCCAAGGAAGCGCCCAGAGGAGGAAGAGAAGAGCGGAGGGACCGAGGGTTTTCTGCTGACCTTGTTGGCTGTGTTGAATATATTTCCCTCATCACTCCCCCCTCTGATGCCCCTTTAAATACTTTGTTTTAGGGGGCATCATCATCTTGGTTTATGATAGGGTCATAATGGCTTGCATTCATATTTTCAACCACTTTGAGCTAGGATTTTTCCCCCTGAGGACAGTGCAAAGTTGTATAGCTTAGGGTTTCTCCATTCTGATGTGGTTTGGGTGGTTAAGCACAGTCCAAATAGGTATAGAGGTAACATTATGGAGAGGTACTGGGGAGATGCAGGCTGAGGCTTGAGTTTAGTTAGGAAAGGCAGGTAAGCACAGCAAAACAGTCTATGACTATGCAATAGACAATAGAAAGGGCAACTTTTTGAGGGACAGTCCAGTCAGAGGGGGCAGCAGCAGAGAGTCCAATGTCCAGGATGAAAGATCCCACTCCAGCAAGGGCCAGTATCCACGGCGTGCAGGTGTTTATTAGTCAGAGGGTAATCGTCGAATACAATACGACCGTGGAGAGGATTCTGAATGTCTGGCTGGGCCTTCCACTGATGTATTTCTTTGTCCGGATTATGGACCTTTTTCACTCTGGAATGATGGACCCACAGAGTGATGCCTGCAACTCTGAGGGCAATAGGAGTGGTTAGAACAACAATGTGGGGGCCAGTCCACTGAGGCTTGAGGGGGTCCCTTTTCCAATCTTTGACCCAGAATGAGTCCCCAACCTGGAAGGAATGTACTGGGGTTCCTAAGGAGAGCAGCTCTCTTTCTGTGGTATATTGTTGTAGCTTATTTAGGGTGGCTTCTGAGGCTTGGAGCTGTTCCCTCACTCCCTTATCTCCTATTTGGTGCAGGTTCCCTTGAAGGTTTCCTAGACCTGAGGGTGGGAGGGCCTCCATACACTAATTCAAAAGGGGAAAGGCCTTGAGTCCTGGGTGTGCAGTAAGCATGCAGGGGAGCCAGGGGCAGTAGGTCCAGCCACAGGAGGCCAGTTTCTTGGCAGAACTTACCTCAGTTTCCCTTGAGGGTGCAATTTATTTGCTCTCCTTTCCCTGAACTCTGTGGCCTATATGCATTGTGGAGTTCCCAGGTAATGTTGAGAGATTTAGTTAAGATCTGTACTGCATCTGCTACAAAGGCAGATCCACTGTCACTGTGAATTGTAGGCAGGTTTTGGCTACCTCCTGGCTGTGTTCTGTCCTGGCTGGGAGGCTGGACCCACCCAGAGTATGTGCACACTACCACTAGGAGGCATCTGAGTCCTCTGCTTGGCTGGACATCTGTGAAGTCTACCTCAAGGTCTTCAGAGGACGCAACTCCTGCCCTTTAGACACCTGGCAGGGGTCACGGTGCAGATCGAGCATTATTTCTGGTGCAAGTCACGCACTACTCACTTATTGCTGGGCATGATGCTGGCAACTGGCTGATGTAGTATTGCTTTTTGAGGAGGGCTTCCAGTGCAGTTTTTCCTAGGTGGGTGAGCTGATGGTATTTGCTGACTAGATGCCTTCTGGTTGCAGTCGGGACACAGATGCATCCATCGGGCAGCATTCACCACACTTTTTCAGTTAGGGTGGCTCCTTTAGCCATGGGCCAGTCCTTTGCTTTTTCAGTGCACTTGGGTGGAGGGACCTCCACTGGGGGTGTTAGGGCCATGGTGAGGGAAGGACCTTTACCTGTTTCTTTACTGGCTGCTGCTCTAGCTGCTTCATCTGCCAGCCGATTCCCCTGTGTTACAGGGTCGTTTCCCTTTTGGTATCCTTTGCAATGCAGAATTGCTACTTCTTTTGGGAGCCAAACACCTTTGAGAAGTCTTAGTATTTCTTCCTTGTTCTTGATTGCTTTTCCTGCTGTGGTAAGGAGACCTCTTTCCTTGCAGATGGCCCCATGTATGTGCACAGTGGCAAAGGCATATCGGGAGTCAGTGTAGATGTTGGCTCGCTTGCTCTAGCTGATGGTGAGGGCTTGAATGAAGAACTGCAGTTCAGCCCATTGTGCTGACCATCTGGCCGGCAGGGCTTTTGCTTCTAAGACCTCAGTGGCAGTAGTTACTGCATAACCTGCTCTCCGGATACCCTCTTGTAGGTAACTGCTGCCATTACTGAATAGTGTGAGTTCTGGATTTTGTATTGCTTGATACTGCAAATCCGGGCGACTTGTGTAGACTTTGACAGTTACTTCGGAGCAGTCATGATCTGGTCTCCCCTGTTCGGTGGGGAGGAAAGTTGCTGGATTCAGTGTCCATACTGTTTCAAGAGTGATCCGCAGGTTTTTACAGAAGAGTCCTTGGTATTGCGCCAGCCGAGCTGGAGAGGAAGCAGTGTCCCTGTGTGTTCATGAGGGATACAATAGCGTGGGGGACCTTGACATTTAGTTCTTGTCCCAGGATACGTTTATCTGCTTCCTTAATGAGTAGAACTGTGGCTGCCAGTGCCCTGAGGTAGGGTGGCCATCCTGCTGCAACCAGGTCCAGTCTCTTTGACAAGTATGCAACCGGCCACTGCCAGGGCCCAGCGGTCTGTGTGAGAACCCCGAGGGCCACTTTTTCCTTTTCATGTATGAAGAGATTGAGGGCTTTTCTATACCTGCCAGGCCTGGGACTGGTGCCTGTCCTAAAGCAGCTTTTATTTCCAGGAAGGTGGCTTTTGC